TAGTGGACTTGGTGCAAAGAACCAGGAGGCACTCTTAGGATCTGAAGGAACTAATATTTAACCCATTCATACAGACTTCCTCACAGTAAGGCAGCCCATACATTCTTCTTTTTTTTGTTTTTGTTCAACCAGCGGGAATTCCGCCTCCACAAACCTGAGGTGGCTGGAACAATCTTTCACACTGAGTTTTTGTATTCTGAGACTTGCCCGTTGTCAGAATACAATGATCAGTGCCAATATCTATAACCGGCACTGATCGATTGGGAAAATAACCAACAGAGCTCTGAGGAAGAGGACAAGTCCCTCAAAACGCGTCAGCTGCACTGGACTGACGTGTCTGGTGGTGCTTTGTGTTCTTGCCTGTGATTATTCTCTCCTTGTGAGTATGATGGAGTGTTTTTTATTATTTATTAAAGTCCTTTACGATAATGAACTAGGCTTGTGTGCCGCCTTCTTATTTTTTTTCAATTTTAGTTTGGTTTTCCTGCACCAAAAAGGAGGGCAAAGCCATTGTACATCCATTTGTGGTCACAGTTGTGGATGATCCTAGAGGATCCTATTCAGGGGTGCATGGTGGAAGCTCTTTCCCTTTTGGTTCCCAAGAAGACAGGACCGCCATGAAGAGCATCCAATATTAGTACAGACTTTGGTGCTGTTCTAGTCCTGGTGATTATGTGTTACATGTGTGATCATGCTGCCCTGCAAGAATCCTGTATGACCGTTGCCAAAAACCCATATACTTAAAATGGTATTAAACCCAAACCCAAAAATGTGTGCTACTTAACAATCATTAGATATAGTGGCAGCATCAGTTTTCTTTGGCTTTTTTTCCCTCTGTTTTCACCTGCTGATCTGGCCAGTAACACACCTCCTGTATTAGCAAGACAAATGTGTGAAGGGATTCAGCACAAGAGACACAGCAGACAGCAGTATTGTCAGTCTGGGGGGAATGGAAGTGTAAACTATACAAGTAGATTTAAATACAATAACAAATTGAAGCCAAACTCCAGCTCACACTTTATAATCAGTTACAACCAGTTTTTTTTTTCTTTTTGGTATAACGTTTTTACATAAATAAATTAAAGCTGATAATTCTAAACCTCCCTGCCAGTGTTAAATGGTCTCTCTCATCCTTATAAACTGGTGCATTCTGCTGGAGAGAGTGCTTGTGAAACACAAAAGACTTACTGGCTGGATCACTAGGTTAAAATAGAAGAAAGAAAGCCGTAAAAATGCTTACAGACATCATATCTAAGGGTTGGTAAGCTGAAACATAATAAATGTTTGCTTTTTGACTTAACACTGCTATTTTTTTTGAAGTCTATTTTATTTTTAACAACTCACTGAAGCAAATACAGAGATTCTTGTTTCATACCACTAGACGCTGGCATCCAATAAACACACTCACTGTCCATCACATCAGCAAAAGTTAGATGGTAAACCATCCATTAGAGCAATTTGCATCTACTTCAAGCATACAGTTAACTATCTAAGACTAAAAATACCCAACCCTACCCATCTATTTCAACATAACCAATGTAGGCCTTCGACTATCCACTCATGCCATTTTATGGTAACAATTTAGGAACTTAATAATACATATTACATGTAATACATATTTGAAACCTGTTAAAATAAAAAAAGCCCAACTTCAGGTTCTCCCCTTTCCTCCATCTACAAAGGCTTTGCATGCTCTGTTTTATGCGTTATTTTTAATATTTACATTTTGCCAGTCATGTGATCCACAGGGTCCTGTACCTATTCAAATATCCTCTAATGATTGGAATTTGTCAGTGATATAGACAGCATGATAATGCCTGTATGTGAGTGCAGGGTGCCATTGTGACAACCCCTCATGTGCTCACAGGATGTTCTTTGTATTCTCGCTGGAAAGATAGGTTAAATTTTTTTTTTTTTTTAAATAAATGCACATCTTTTTGCAGGTAAACAAAATGTACATTTATACATTTTTTTTTACTCTGGAGCCTGTAAAACATGGCACCCATGATCAACAGATCATCAGTGCAATGTCAGACTCTCAGTACACGGCCTGCCTGTACCTCGTATGGGCAGACAGTTACCAAAATGCAGGAAGAATCACTGAACTACAAGAGCAGTCACCAGTGCCCTTGCAGTTCATTGAGAACTACAAGCCGTTGGCCGCAATGGATGATGGTATTTGTAGTTCATTCACAAAACTCAGTGAATGAATGATGTAGCCATGTGGTGTTCCACCGAGCTGTTTTTAAATTGTGACAGTGGGTATGGGGAGAAAATCCCCCACCTACTGTCACGAGGGGGAGAGGAGGCAGGAGCTGGAACGTGTTACATGTTCCCATGGTGAACTTAGCCTTTTAACAAGGCTAACCATCATTTGACCTGGAAGACTGAGGAAATCTAAAGGCGAAGGAATTACTGTGGCAAGCAAGAGTAGCAGAGGTTTGTTTTAAAAGGTTTCTAGGGCACTATTTTTTTTATTATTTTAAAAAAAAAGATTGTTTTGATTTAACTCTGGATATTTGTGCCAGATAGTAAATTGTTTCATTTTGCTTTTACTCTCTACCTAATAGTTGCCCACTGGTAGGTGTTTAGATATACCTTTTTTATTGTAGATTTATATAAAATTGTATCAATGTATTTATCCAATTGATTCTTTATTACCATTAACCGATAAGGATGACAACTCCTGCAGCATTCAGGATTTGTTACATGTTATGTACCCTAATTAAACCTTATCAGTTTTTCAAATCCATTTTTGATTTTGCTGCTACAGATAGGAAAGGATGGCTTAGACCAGTACATATTGTGGACATTGTGAGCTTCTCTTGTTTTTTTTTCTTTGTCACAAAATTCTAATTCAACAACATATCCAGGCCCAACAGTGACTTCTATAGTTTTAAAAAATTGTATATTGCCGAAAGTGATATTAAACCCTCAGTTCTTTTGTAAGCATATTCAGCAGGTAATTTAAACTCTTACTGGATATGCAGCTTATAATCTTTTAAGCCTTGGCTGTGTTACAGTTTAGGCTGGCGCCTTGCTTGCTGTCTCAGGGTGACTCCTTTCTCTTGCAGCATGCCATGGATCACCCTTGCATGCAGGAACCTACAGTGGGGCAAAGAAGTATTTAGTCAGCCACCAATTGTGCAAGTTCTCCCACTTAAAAAGATGAGGTTGTGGACAGGTGTCTTTTATACTGATAACAAGTTCAAACAGGTGCCATTGATACAGGTAATGAGTGCAGGGCAGAGGAGCCTCTTAAAGAAGAAGGTACAGGTCTGTGAGAGCCAGAAATCTGGCTTGTTTGTAGGTGACCAAATACTTATTTTCCACCATGATTTGCAAATAAATTCTTTCCAAATCAGCCAATGTGACTGTCTGGATTTTTTTTCTCATTTTGTCTCTCATAGTTGAGGTCTACCTATGATGCCAATTACAAGCCTCTCTCATCTTTTTAAGTGGGAGAACTTGCACAATTGGTGGCTGACTAAATACTTTTTTGCCCCACTGTATGTTGTGTCTCCCTACATTTTGTGCAACAATAGAAACACAAAGTGTAGCCCAGGAAAGCAAGGCACTCCCCTGCTGCTCTTTTCTCCTCTCTTCTCCATGTTAAAAAAACTGTCTGTACTGTCCACTGTTACCTCTTTTCTGTGAAGGCTGGAAATTCAGAGAAGCCGCACTGGGAGGTCAGGAGGCAACAGCAATTTGTAGTTTGCAAGTGTTGGACTAAGGAGTTTAACAAATAGTTTTTTTTAGGGAATGTTTATTTTAATGTGATGAATGTGTTTAGCTAATAAAGCTAGTGGTTTACTACTTTAGGATTGTAGGTCATATAAGGATAATGGTACAAAGGGGAAATTCTGGAGCTGAAACCTTTACAAGTGAATCCCTGTTATTCTCTGTATCTTGTTAAAACTTTGTTTAAACAACAGCACATCATCAGATTTGATCATTTTTCCACCTTTATTTTGTTTGAATGGATAGGCACTTCAATGTCAATGTTCTCAAATGTTTTAATATTGTGAAAATTTTACAGTTGTTGCACATCCCAAAGCACTGAAAGGGTCAGGAGCTATGGGTGAAACAGATTTATAGGCATACAAGTGAAACTACTGACTGAGGAGCTAGCTCTTGAGGATTAAACTCCATTAATGCACTACTCATTGCACTGATTATGGTATTACTATATATTCCATACCCCGATTTTTGTTATATTGTTTATTGTACATGGGCCTGTAATGGAAGCGTAGGCAGGACAGAGCATACAGAGAAGGTGGGGAACACACAAAGCTTTATTGAAAGAACAAAATGACAGACACTCAATGGGAAAATGGCAGGGAGGGTGATGTGTGGACAAACCAGGGACGATTCCAGGCATGGGGGGTCTTCTGTGGCAGGGTGGCTTGTGCGGTCTTCCCCCCTTTGGACGCCTCAGCTGAGCTCTCTCCGTGACTGCACAGCGGATTGGAGACTCGGGCAACAGGCGGGCAACCTACCCTTGGGCAGGGGTCTCAGGCAACAGGCAGGCAAGCTCCCCCTAGGCTTGGGGGGTCCCAGGCAGAGCCGGGTCACGAGGGCCCCGCATCAGCTGAGCTCCCTCCGTGACTGGACAGCGGATTGGAGACTCGGGCAACAGGTGGGCAACCTACCCCTGGGCAGGGGTCTCGGGCAACAGGCAGGCAAGCTTCCCCCTAGGCTTGGGGGGTCCCAGGCAGAGCCGGGTCACAAGGGTCCCACCTCAGCTGAGCTTCCTTCATGACTGGACAGCGTATTGGAGACTCTGGCAACAGGCGGACAACCTACCCCTGGGCAGGGGTCTCAGGGACTCAACGGGACTCTAGCTGTGGAGTCTGGCCTAGCACAGTTCCCACCCAGCTTTCTAGGGACATTGGGGTCACGGGGACTCAATGGGACTCTAGCTATGGAGTCTGGCCTAGCACAGCTCCCACCCAGCTTTTCTAGGGACATCAGGGTCATGAGGAGGGGGGGGGGGGTCAGTGTGCACACTAGGGACAATTCAGAACACGGGTGGTCTGTGCACACAGCAGGGACAGATCAAAATACGGGTGGTCGGTGCACACAGCAAGGACAGTTCAAAACACGGGTGGTCGGTGCACACAGCAGGGACGGTTCAAAACCACGGGCGGTCAGTGCGCACACCAGGGACAATTCAGAACACGGGTGGTCTGTGCACACACCAGGGACAGTTCAGGACACGGGTAGTCTGTGCGCACAACAGGGGCAGTTCAGGACACGGGGGAGGTCGGTGCACACAACAGGGACAGTTCAGGACACGGGTAGTCTGTGCGCACAACAGGGACAGTTCAGGACACGGGGGAGGTTGGTGCGCACAGCAGGGACAGTTCAGGACACGGGTAGTCTGTGCACACAACAGGGACAGTTCAGGACAAGGGGGAGGTCGGTGCGCACAACAGGGACAGTTCAGGACACGGGTAGTCTCTGTGCACAACAGGGACAGTTCAGGGCATGGGGGAGGTCGGTGCGCACAGCAGGGACAGTTCAAACACGGGTGGTCGGTGCGCACAGCAGGGGCAGTTTAGGACATGGGTAGTCTGTGCGCACACCACGGGGCAATTCATGGCTTCTAGGGACACTCATGGTAGGCGACTTGCAGACGCTCGGCAGCAGGCGGCTTCCAGGGAGGTGGGCGACTTGTGGACGCTTGGCAGCAGGCTGCTTCCAGGGACCCTCACAGCAGCCGGCTCCTCCAGGGGCCTAGCGATCAGCAGCAGAGGCCCTCACGGCAGCTGGCTCCTCCAGGGTCCCAGCGATCAGAAGGCAGGGGCCCTCACAGCGGCCGGATTCTCCAGGGGCCCAGTGACCAGCAGGCAGGGGCCCTCACAGCGGCCAGCTTCTTCAGGGGCCCAGCTATCAGCAGCAGGGGGCCCTCACAGCGGCCAGCTTCTCCAGGGGCCCAGCAATCCGAAGGCAGGGGCCCTCACAGCGGCTGACTTCTCTAGAGCCCAGTGACCAGCAGGCAGGGGCCCTCACAGCGGCCAGGAACAGCAGCGGGGGTAGCATGGCCACGGGGTCTGACCTTGGAAGAGGGGGCTCATGCAGAGCTGCGCAGACTTCCACCCTGGGACATTCAGGAGGGATCAAGATGTTTGCAGCAGTGTGCACAGGAACAAAGAGAGAGAGGGCTGCTTCCTTTGTGAGTCTTTTAAAAATCCATGTGGGACGCTGCTAGGTTGCCTCGGCAACTGCCTGCCCAGCAATGTTCATGGAAGCTACACTGACATCGGAATGTGCAAGGGGTGGAGGGATATGGCGGGGGATGGGAGAGGCACTGGCACTTTGTGACAGGGCCATTTATGCACTTCTGGCTGGATGCTAACTGCATTTCATTGGCTCTGTACATGTACTTTGCACAATGACAATAAAGTTGAATCTAATCTAAAATATTTGCAATTACAAATGTTTAGGCATTCTCATGTTTATTTCTTTTGTTTGTATTGGTATGATACAAAAAAGTGGAGTAACAAAAAGCCAAATCTGACACATTCCACTTAAAACTGTGCCACATGAAGCATGGATAAGAGAGAGAGAGCAGCAAAGAATTGTCTGAGGATTTGAGAACAAAAATTGTGGAAAAGCTTGAACAGTCTCAGGGTTACAAATCCATCTCTAGAGATCCTAATTTTCCTGTGTCCGCTGTGCGCAACATTGTCAAGAAGTTTAAAGCCCATGGCACTGTGGCTAATCTCCCTGGACGTGGGCGAAATAAAAAAAATTGATCAAATATTGCAACTAAGTATTGTTCGAATGGTGGCTAAAGAACCATAATCTACTTCCAGACAAAATCAAAGCTGACCTTCAGGCACAGGGTACAACTGTGTCAGCTCACAGTATGCGTCACCATCTGAATCTCAGATCTCAATCCCATAGAGCACCTATGGAGAGATCTCAAAACAGAAGTTGGGAAAAAGGAACTCTTCCAATCTGAGAAACCTGGAGCAGTTGACTAAAGAAGAGTGGTCCAAAATTCCAGTAAAGAGGTGTAAAAAATTCATTGATGGTTACTGGAAGTAAATTACTTCAGTTATTTGGTGTGCTACCAAATATTAAACTGAGGATGTCAGTACTTTTGTCCATTTCATGTTTGGTGTTTTTGCGTGGAATGTGTCCGATTTGGCTTTTTGTTTCTCCACTTATTTGTGGAGAAACAAAAAGAAACATACCAATAACAACAAAAGAAATAAACACGAGAATGCCTAAACATTTGTAATTGCAACAATTTTCTGGGCAAAGTGATGCATTATCTAACAGAAATGCAAGGGTGCCAATATTTTTGGCCATGACTGTAGAGTCTAAGCACACAGGACCTGATGTGTGGGTCATTTATTTGTTTCATTTTTGAAGCTTTACAATGGCCTTTTTCACTTTGAACGCATGATGTAAGTTCACAGTAATAGATTCCAAATGCAAATACCACACTTAGAATCAACGCCAGACCTTTTACCTGCTTAATTGATGAAGAAATAACGAAAGAGTAGCCCACACCTGGCCATGAAACAGCTTTAGATTCAATTGTCCAATTACTTTTGGTCCCTTGAAAAAGGGGAGATGGCTAATCTTAACAGCAGTAATTCTTAAACCCTTCCTCCAATGTGGATGTACATACCCTCAAATTAAACTTGAGAGTGTGCACTTTCAGCCCATATCCATTATATAACTATAGCTTGAATATGTTTTGGTAAATACCTGAAAAAAACTAAAATTGTGCCTGTGTACAAATATATATGAACCTAACTGTAACTACAGAGAGCACCTTACTTCACATAACCCTCCTCTCCCTGGGTCCTTTACAGAACGGTTGATTGTTACAGAGGTTAGTTGCCCATAATAGCTAGGGGTCCTCCTGACAGGATAATCCAACAAAGTTTTTACTACTGTCCACTCTGCCCCTTATATAGTGAAGTTGTAGGGCTAGGCTCCACCATAGTAAGTGACCATTATTCGCTAAAATCCTATTTAGCCAGGGTAAGCGATTGTGGTCAGGTATGGAGGTGAACTCACAGCCATAGAGATATGACTGCAACTTCTTTGGATCCTATACCACAACCAGGCATTCTTAATCTGTGGTGGCTACCTCTCTGTCAGCCTCTTGTAAGAATAGCGATGGGGTGCCCTTTCCCATTATTGTTTACCTGGCTCAGAATGGCTCCCAGTTCATATGTATGCAATGCCCCAGAGTTTCAATATCCCACAGCCCTTTGCCCTGCCTCTTATAATCTCTTATAAATGCTTATCTCGGGTTGCCAGGGTAGAGACCCTCAAAGGTTATAGATACATCAGTGTAGAGGGTACTTCAATCAGCAGGAGGGGTTGGCATCTTGTTCTTCCTCTAAGTCGAGCAGCTGGTCTGGTAGTGACCAGTATTCCTGCAGCTAACGCAGTGTCTTTGGAGTTAGACCTTCGGACCTACAGTGGTGAAGCAGAAGTATGCAGGAAAGTCAGTCAATCAGGATGTGCTGGTTTGTGACGCAGAAGCATATATAACACAAAAAGAAGATGCCAGAAGAAATTTTAGCAGCCAGTGGCACTATTAGGGATGGCCGGTAAAAAATAAGTCCCAGGTCCAATCATTCACAAAATGGGGTTTCGGAAGCACTTCTTGGTAATCCAGTGCCAGGTTGACTAAGAATCCCAGCAACACCAGTGATCAGTCAGTCTTGTAGTAAGCATCAACAGGGATAAAAATCTCAGAAATTGCCAGAAGTACATAGCAGTAAAGGAACTTCAGCTTCTAGTATGTACTCACACAGACCATTGGGATATACCAGTATTCTTGGAGTAAACACACGTCATACTATGTGCAGATATTTATTTCAGTTTACACAAAGAGCCCTGACTCGGCACAGATTTTTGTCTGGCAATCACACTGAAAGAGACACTGCCTGCCTACCACATACCTTAAAAGTTTACAGAATGAAAGGAGTCTGTAGTTCATTGTCATTACAGACCATCCAGTTTGTGCTGTAGCAAGTTCATCTTCTCTGAGCTTATTCCACCTGCTAAAATGCTACCCTTTCCCTGTTCAGCCATCTTCACTGTGCATCCCTGCCCCACCTCATACAGCCTTTCCCAGTCGACTCTACTTCCTTCTGTACTCTAGTGCCCCATTCTTTCTTTCTTGCAAACTCTGTGTGGTGCCTTGCAAAACCACACAGTTAAGATTGCTAAGATGCAGACATAAGTATTTTACCAGGACAGGCTTCACTAGGTAGGAGAGCTGTTTAAATAAAGCACAGCTGTACTAAAGATAAAGTTGTACTTGAAGTACATTCAAACTAAGGAATAAAGCTCATTCAAAGTACAAGTGATGGTGTGCACGAACAACAAAATGTTCACAATTTGTAGTGTATCGAGCAGTTGTTTTGTGCAAAAAGACCATAGTGATTATTTTGTTTCTAAAAAAATCTTTTATACAAATTATTGATTGTGATTATACATTAATTTGAATATCCATTCTTACAAATAGACAGCCTCACTTATGAAAAATATTATTTTCCTCATTCATTTTACTTCTTTTGTGTGAGGATTACTTTGTATTTGAAATTCAGAGCTGAGAATGTCTGCACCTGTCAGACCTCAGGGGATGTCTGATCTCAATTTTTTCTAAGCAAAACTTATAATTTGTGACTATATATTCAAGTTAAAGCTTCTTTAGAGATGAACAGGAGTCGATTATCACTGACAGCATATCCTAGAATTCTGGTTCTTGTAGACAGTTACCAGTTTATCATTTGTGTGGAAAGAAGTAATAGATATCATGCCTTGCAGAAAATATCTGGCCATTTAGTAATAACTTAAAGCAGACCGTAAATCTAAAATCCAAGATCCACCTTTGCGTTCCATCCCCCTTTTTTCCTTCCTGAAAAGCAGCATAAATGTTTTAAAAAACTGTAGTGGGGTAATTTAAATAGTGTACTTACCTTTGCCCCCATTTTATGCCCACAGCACCTAGCCAATGGGTGACATCATCTTCTTCCTAGCAAACCCTGGGGAGGCTCTTGAGAAAGTCTGTCAAAAATAAACATGTAGGGCTGAGCTATACAACTGTCACGTCACCATTAATTGACGTGGACACTTGTACACACAGAACTGGCAGTGTGGTGTGTTCTTCCCTGGATGATACTTAAAGTGTTTAACCGTTTCAATACTGTGCAATTTTACACCTTCCTGCCCAGGCCATTTTTCAGGTTTCAGCGCTCTCACATTTTGAATGACAATTGCGCGGTCATACAACACTGTACCCAAACTAAAATTTTATCCTTTTCTTCACACAACTAGAGCTTTCTTTTGGTGGTATTTAATCACCGCTGGGGTTTTTACTTTTTGCTAAATTAACAAAAAAAGACCAAAAATGTTGAAGAAAAAACACACATTTTTCTTTGTTTCTGTTATAAAAGTTTACAAATAAATAATTGTTCTTCATAAATTTAGGACAAGATGTATTCTGGTACATGTCTTTGGTGAAAATAACCCAAATTAGGATATATTTTTTAGTTTGTAGGAAAGTTATAGAGTTCACAAACTATGGTATAGATCTGAATATTGATCAATCCTGAAGTACTGACAGCCAATCTAATTTCTTGAGGTCCAAGAATGTCAGAATAGTACAG